AATCAAACTTATAATATCCCCAACACATAGTGTTGTAGGGCATAAAAAGATTACTTGAAATCTGAATATACCCTTATACATATGTGGCCAATATCAAAACGTAGACCTAAATCTAAATCTAAAAATCTATCGTAAATTTTTCAAAGTATGGAGCAAAATATTTGAGGCCTTTTGTGCATGGTTAAGGCTATATATAATGGTTTCTAAAAAAGTCTAGCATGGTAACCCAAAACCCTTTTTGGAATTTGGATCTACTAACCAAATACTATCCACTACGAATTTTCCATCCCACAGGTTGGCTGTTGCGCAATGTCGTTGCTCGCTGTTGTATAAAACGATACCTGCGATTTAAGTATGTTAAAGATGTAGATGTACTATTATTTTGAAATTCGATTCCATTGAAAAATTGAAAAATGAGATAGTCTCTTTTTATACCCTCCACCATAGCGTGAAGGGTTTATTAAGTTTGTCATTCCGTATGTAAAATCTCGAAATATACATTTTAGACGCCAAAAAGTTTACATATTCTTGATCAGCATAACGTTCTATGTCGATTTATTAATGTCCGTCCGTCTGTGGAAATCACTCTAGCTTCCGAACGAAATGATGTAGGTTGATAAAATTGTACTCAAATATGTATTATGTCTGCAGGACTTTTGGTATTGAAAATGGGCTGTGTAGGTCCACGTCTTCGTATACAGCCTAAGACCAAAAATGAGCCATGTAGGTCCACGTCTTCGTATAGCCCATATATAACGGTGCCTCCCGATATTGGATATTTTGATGGTTTTAGAGATGTTATTTACCGGAACTATTTCAAATTTAGTATTTGAAGTTCGTAATGAATACTACAGCCTATGAGAGAAAATTGTCTGTGCAGGTCCACGTCTTCGTATAGCCCCCATATAACGGTACCCCCCGATATTCGGTATTTTGATGATTTTAGCGACATTATTTACCGGAATTATTTCAAACTTTGTAATTGAAGTTCGTAATGGATACTACAGCCTATGACAGAAAATTATCTGGGCAAGTCCATTTATAACCCCCATGGTACCTCCCTATATTCGGTATTTTGATGATTTTAGCTACATTATAAACAGTTTTTTTTTTTTCAAGTTTCGCATTTGAATATTGTAATAGCTTTCGACAAAAGTTGCCTATGCAGGTCCAATATACGGCTACATTCGGTATTTTTAAGATTTTTAAATTTGTACCAAATGGTGGAGGGTATTCGAAATTCGGCCCGGCCGAACTTACAGCTTTTTTACTTGTTTTGATTTTTTAGCGATTTTGAAAAAGTAATTATCTTTTGTGTAACCGCCTTAAAATATTTCGACATCATCTACTCAGTTTCGCCACTACATAATTCGGCACTACAATTCAATGTAACCGACCTGCAATATTATTTCTCAATAAATCGAGTCAATTAAATAAAGTTTATCAAATCGAAAAACCCGTTCTACACTATAAAATACTGATTTTTTTCGTTCATAGCTTATCCTCTTACCCAATATATAAATAAAATCAATTAAAAACAGTTTCTTTGTCGCTTTATACACACCAAAAAGACAACACACCATATTAGAATAAAAAAAACATTTCAAAAGTCAAAATGAAAATTTTCAAATTTCACATTATAACGCATGAAAAGGATAAAATAACCTTTTCGACAAGAGACAATCCCGAATTTATCTGAAATTAAAGTTAAAATCAGATCAGCGGTTCTTGAGTTATAAGCGTAGTAAATAACACAACTTTCTTTTATATATATAGATATTTTGACTTAACTTATGATTATTCAAAATGTTGATCCTTTATGGAGAAAATTTCGTAGAAGTGGACCAATATTATCTAAACTAAATCGGATATGAATACACAACTTTACCGGTTTCGAATAAATTGACTTAACTTTATATGAGACATGTGATGAATGTTGAAACATGCGTGACGTTCCAGATATAGTAAACCAGATATACGGATAAATGGGCAAAATTTAAAAATGTTTTTTGTCATAGAAGTTATTTTTGAAATAACTTCTGGGGAGAATATCCCAGACAAAAAATCAAGGGAACTGATGAGGTTTGGTGGCTCTTTCCGAAACCTAGGTATTCCCTGCCTTACCCCCTGGTAAACATTACCATCGTTCTCCACTAATAAACAAACGTTGTTTTTATAAAAACAACAATAAAGGGATAAGCCTGACCATTTTGCAACAACAAAATACTACGGTATCCCGAACAAACAAGCCACACTGTTCTATTTATAGACAAGGCACGGTCGACGAAGGGGTTTTTGTTGTAACAGACAAAACCAACTTACATGGTTATGCTACTTCGTTCAGGTTGATCGAAAGCATAACAAGTGGAGAAAGATGAAAATGTTTATAAGTGCGGTTGTAAGATTTAGAAGACTTTCCAAAAGAATTTTAGTTTCATTTAATTCTTTGGTTCCTCTTCTATTGAGCTTACGATCTCGTCACTTGGGTAAAAAATGTTTTTTGTCATAGAAGTTATTTTTGAAATAACTTCTGGGGAGAATATCCCAGACAAAAAACAAGGGAACTGATGAGGATTGGTGGCTCTTTCCGAAACCTAGGTATTCCCTGCCTTACCCCATGGTAAACATTACCATCGTTCTCCACTAATAAACAAACGTTGTTTTTATAAAAACAACAATAAAGGGATAAGCCTGACCATTTTGCAACAACAAAATACTACGGTAACCCGAACAAACAAGCCACACTGTTCTGAAAATCAGACATCTATTACCGATTTAATGGGAATATTTTTATTCAAAAATTAAAATTTGTAGGTGTGGTACGAAAAGGTGTGAGACGGTAAATTCCATATTCACATCAGATCTTTAGTTGAAAGAAAAAATTATATACCAATTTTGAATAGAATCGCTGACTTGTTTCGCAAGTTATGAGAGATATAAAATTTAAAATTTGACCCTTTGTGAGAAAGGTATCAGAAGAGGTGGTTCAATATCTACCATTTTGACTCCAGATCTTGTTGTTAGAAACATTGTTATGTATGAAATTTGAGGAGAATCGGATGCTTTATCGTATTTTAGGAGACATTTTATTATTCAAAATTGTTCTCCGTTTTGGGGGGACGTACCAAAGGAATGGTCCGATATATTCCATATTCATACTTGATCTTGTGTTAATATAAATATTGAGATGTACCAAGTCTGAATTGAATCGGATATTAATTTCGGGTTTTATGAGATTCATGAATATTCAAAATTTGAATCCTTTGTGGGGTGGTACCAGAAGGGGTGGACCGATAGATTACACCATCACACCCAACCTTGTGTTAAAAATATTGTGATGTGTGTAATTTGAAGACAATCGAACTCCTACATCACATTTTATAAGAGGTATAATTATTCTAAATGTTTACCCTTTGTGGGTGAGGTACTTAATGGAGTGGACCGATATTGTCCATTTTCGCACGTAGCACTGATAGAAATATTAGGATTTGCAAAGTTGGAGCAAGATCGGATCATTCTTTCTCTTTCTGTGCAGTAAAATATTTTATTTATTTTTTTTTTTTTTTTTTTTGAAAATTTCGAACTTTTGTTGTGGTCACATAAAGAGTGAACCGATATTGCACATCTCCGAACTCGATCTAAGTTTGATAATAATATTACTATGTACCAAGTTTGGACCACCAGCCAGCCAGACAGAAGGGCTCCAAAGGTCCTGAAACGGATTTGGATTAAATAAACCTAGGGTCTAAAATCGTTATTTCGATGAGACCGTATCAAACGGCCAATGAAACCGTCAAACGCTGCCCGAATGTTACTCTGTGGTATTTCCCGGCGAAGCGCTTGCTTGAGGTGATCGACACTTTGGTATTTTTTAGTGACAACTTTGCTTTCCAAAATACTCCAGACACAATAGTCCAACGTATTGATTCTGGTGATTTTGGTGGTCATTGTGCGCTGGAAATGAAGCGAGGAACCTCAGTTTGTAACCTTTCTTGTGTGGTGCGTGCTGATTGCGATGGTATTGAGTCCTGTTGGAACGTGCAAGGTCTGCGGCCAAAATGTTTGCGTGCCCAAGGTTTTAGTACATGGCGGCCCACACCATCACCATGGCCGGCGCATGAGTTCTGGTGGCCGACCGAAGGTGCACATTTTCTGCTGACCTCTTTGGCAAGTAAACACGATCATTTTATTTGTTTACAAACTGCTGGACATCGAATTTTTTCTCATCGGGGGAAACCAAATTCGACATTCACCACTTTCGGCCAAGCGAAGCAACTCTTTAGCTCTATCGAATCTATTTTCTTTCTGTTGCAGTGTAGGTTCTTGCACTTTTTGGAATTTCAATGGCTTTATCCCGAGCTCATTTTTCAATATTTGCCGCATAGAATATTGCGATATGTTCAGCTCACGAGCCATTTTTCTGCCACTGTGACGTGGGTTTCGATAAAGTCGCTTGTTTACTCTTCGATCCATTTCTGCTGATGTTACTGTTTTCTTCCTTCCTCTTCCTTGACGTTGGACTACGCTACCAGTATCACGGTAAGGAGCGAAGTTAGGAGACAAAATAGATTCATTCACATTTAAATGCTGGATAGCCACATGTGGTTTTTCAGCCAAATATAAAGAAATCACACTATCACGCTTGAATTCCATTACGAATAAAATTTTCTGCAAAATTTTCACCAAAATGCTTTTGTACGCTTGTAAATAATGTAATGAGCTGTCACTGGAAAAATTTTAACAGCTGTCGGACAAGTTGCTTAGAAATGACAGCAGTCTGAACTTGGTTGAAGTTTTTTCATCTCACCCCGTATAACCTCTCTAGCCCTGTGGCTCAGGGTATAAAAAATGGATTACAGATGGAAACAACAAAGAACTTGGAACCAAAACTAATTTTGTGTTGACCAGTGTAATGTATTAAAAGAAAATGATTATCAATATATTTATTTCGTCATTGACAACGACCTAGAAATATAAAACGTTTCTTATCAAATTTTTAAATCGTCAAAATTAAAAACATTCGAAGCTGTAGGCGACTTGAGCATCTCACAGCGAAATATAATATAATTTTCAGTCGAAGATTAGCTACACGAAAGCATGTTTAAAGTTGTTTTATTCGATATTTCTTGTTTATAATGCACATATAGCGGATATGGGGCAAGTTTTAAACTTAAAACTGTAATTGTTTCTGATATTTAAATGTATTTCTGTTTACAGATCATACAAGTTCGTCTCAATCGCTCTGTCTTTAATGATTTCTTTTGTGACAACGTCGGCGTATACCCATTATCGTTTGCCTACCTCCATAAAACCGGACCACTATAATCTGAAGATCGTTTCTTATTTGGAAGAGAGCAAAAACTTTACATTCAATGGTCTAGTTTCAATACAATTCGACGTTCTAGAGGATACCTCAAATATAACACTACACCTACGGAATTTGACGGTGGAGGAAAGCCGAATTGAACTTTATAGCACCGGAGATGATGGGGAGAATTTCACATTTTGTCTAAGAAATATAGATAAGGTACCCGACCTTGACTATTTCATAATACAACTGTGCGAAGACCTACACTCTGGCCAGAAATACAATTTGACATTACGATTTTCGGGGACTTTAAACGATGAACTAAATGGTTATTATCGCAGTTCGTATGTGAATGGCAGAAACGAAACTACTTGGCTGTCGGTAACACAATTTGAACCTACTTATGCTCGATCGGCCTTTCCATGTTTCGACGAACCCAATTACAAGGCGAATTTCACCATATGGTTGGGACATCATAAGTCCCTTAAAGCCTTGAGTAACATGCCTGTAGAGACACAGATCCCCTTAGATGATGTGGAGGATTTTGTATGGAGCATATTTAAGGAATCGCTGGTCATGTCCACTTATTTGGTGGCATTTAGCATCAATGATTTTGAGAGTATCGAATCGAAACACAATGATTCCGATGTTATTTTCCTTACCTGGTGTAGACCAGATTGTTATGGACGTTGTTTGTATGCAGCCAAAATCGCTCCGGATATCCTTAGGTTCTATGAGGTCATGTTTGACATACCATTTCCACTGACAAAAGTCGATCAAATTGCAGTGCCGGACTTTTCCCAAAATGCCATGGAAAATTGGGGCCTTATCACTTACTATGAAGCGATACTGCTTACCAAGACCAATGGTAGCAGTATTGGCAGTGAGGAAAAACTAATGATAGCCATCACTGTAGCCCATGAATTGGCTCATCAGTGGTTTGGCAATTTGGTTACTATGGAATGGTGGAATGATATTTGGTTAAATGAAGGATTTGCCACATACATTTCAACATTGGGGGTGGGTAGCCTCTATCCCGACCTGCCATGGTACGCATTTGATACCTATGACAATTTCAAGGAATTCTTTATAGCCGATGCCGAACCAAGCAGTCATGCCATATCAAAAAACAAATGTAACTCAAGCGAGATAATGCAAAGTTTTGATGCCATAGCGTATCGAAAAGGAGCTGCTGTATTGCGGATGACCCACAAGTCTATGGGCCCTGATTGGTTCTTTGCTGGGGTATGTGGTTATTTAAATAAACATAAATATGCGAATGCCGAACAGGATGATCTGTGGCAGTCGTTTAGGGAGGCGTTTCTAAAATCGTCGAGTAGCTTAAAACCTCCAACGGACATAAAAACCATTATGGATTCTTGGACTCTGCAGGCGGGCTATCCGTTGCTTCAAGTCAAACGTAATTATGAAACGGGCGTTGTAGAAATTTCCCAAAAAAGATTTTTGGCACATGACGTAAACCAGACCAAACCGGAAGAAAATTCCAACCAATGTTGGTGGATACCCCTGAGCTATACAACAGCTGCGGAATTGGATTTCAATTCCACCGAAGCTAAAGTATGGCTGGAATGTGATTTGCAGTCTGGTAGCAGTAGTTTAAGTTTAAATCCTCCCAATGGCGTGGCCCCTACTGATTGGATAATATTTAATATTCAAATGGTTGGTGTTTACCGAGTTTCATACGACCATCAAAATTGGCGTCTCTTGGCAGCCACCTTAAATAGTGAGCTCTTCGAGAACATCCACGTAATAAATCGCATGCAAATTCTTGAGGATATCTATGCTGTGGCCAAGCAAGGCGAACAAAGCTATGAACTTTATTTTGAGATATTAGAATACTTGCAGCGGGAACAAGAAACATGGCCATGGGAACCAGCTGTGGTCGGCCTAAAAGAACTTTCCGCAATTTTGGCACCATTCCCATTGGTGAGTAAATATCTAAATAAATTCATGCGCTACATAATAGAACCCTACTATCATCATATTGGCGGATTGAATGACGCAGTCGATATGTCCGAAATTCACAGCCAACTTATTATGATTGCTTGCCTATTGGAAACGGAACATTGTGTTCAAACCGCCCTAAATTATTTTGAACAATGGAAAAGTATATTTAACACCACCGAGATTAATGCTTTGTCAAGCGAATTGAAAGTCATTGTCTTCTGCACGGCTGTTCGATTTGGTCCTGTGGATAACTGGGATTTCCTATGGCAACAATACGTGGAGTCGCGTGAAGAAGAAATGCTCCTAGGTTTGGGTTGTTCTGCAAGCGAAACAGTACTGAGAAGATTTGTTAAAAATTATCTGGATTTGACAAATGGGTCTGAAAACGGAACACACGATGTTTTTTATTACATATTTAGAAGTGTAACAGGCGTGAAAATTATTCGCGAAAATTTTATAGACGCCATAACTAATTCCACGGCTATGACGGATGTGAATACACTTTTGTTATGTAGTTTTAATTTAGTTCTTCCCAATGATTTGAATACGTTCGAGGATTTGATCAATCTGAATCCGGATTATTTTAAGGACTACGAAGAAATGGTGGAGTACACTCGCAGTACCATCAACTCCAAAGTACAATGGATTGAGCACAATCTTGAAGTTATTAAATCATATTTACATAAGCGTCTGACACAAATGGGGATTCTTGAGAATAATGTCGACGATAATAACAGCTGACACTTAGAGAAACACTGAATTTTGACATACAGGGTGAGATAAAAAAAATTGCAACAAAGTCAAATGCCATAATTTTTATTTTTTTTAATTTTATTGAATGTAAGCAAAAAAATGTCGGAAATAGCATCACATTTTAGCATAAGTTTAGAATTGTTCGTATTGGTCACCTTTGGTACGAATTATGGCCTTCAAACGACCAATGAAGCCGTCACACGCTGCCCGAATGTTGCTCTGCGTATTTTGGCCTATTCTCGGCCAAGAGCTTGCTTGAGATGATAGACACCATGGTACTTTTTAGTGCCAACCTTGCTTTCCAAAATACTCCAGACACAAAAGTCCAACGCATTGGTATCCGGAGATTTTGGTGGCCATTGTGTGGAAATGAAGCGAGGAACCTCATTTTGTAACCATTCTTGGGTGTTGGTTGGCGTGTGCTGAGTCCTTTTGGAATGTCCAAGGTCTGCGGCCAAAATGTTTGCGTGCTCAAGGCTTTAATACACCCTCCAGAATATTTTGGCTTTTATTTTGATGCCACGGTCGATTAATACGAGCGGAGAGCGTGGCACATTTTTACATACACATTTTCAGCTAACCTCTTTGGCAAGTAAACACGATAATTTTGTTTGTTAACAAACTTCTGGACAACGTATGTTCTCTCATCGGAGAAAACCAAATTCGGCAGTTCACCACTTTCACTTTTGAGTCTATTTTCTTTCCCTGGCGTCGTAAGTTTTTGCACTTTTTGGAATTTCATTCTTGAATATTTGCCGAATGGAATATTGCGATATGTTCAGCCCACGAGCCATTTTTCGGCCACTACGACGCGGGTTTCGATCAATTCGCTTCTTTGCTTTTCGAATTATTTATGCTGATATTGCTGCTTTCTTCCGTCCACTTGCTTGACGTCGGGCTGCGCTACCAGTATCACGGTAACGAGCAATGGTACGAGACACAAAAGATCTATTCACATTTAAATGCTGGAGTGCCCCAACGGCTAATTTGTGGGTTTCCAGCCAAATATAAAGAAATCACACTATCACGCTTGAATTCAACCACGAATAACTTTTTTATGGAAAATTCTTTTGTTCGCTTATAATGATCTGTCACTGGAATAATTTTAACAGCTGTCGGACGAGTGGCTTAGAAATGACAGCAGTCTGAAGTTGGTTGCAGTTTTTCATCACACCCTGTATATATACATACTTCTCAGGAACAAAAACTAATCGCAATACCCTTACAATTATTTTTCCATCAAAGATAAACGTGTATCTCACGACACATTCGGCAACTTTGTTTTGTCGAAAATAAATCTTTGTCTCATAAAACAATTACAAATTAGCAGTCTTTGGAGATGCAAAGACTGCCATCCAACGAGAGTACAAGTCGATACATAAATATGAATGCATTTATAGTTTGCTTTACAATATAAGATTTTAGCTAGAAATTAAAATAAAACTTCGCATGGTCTTCCAAAAATTAGTTAGCTAAATTGTATTTAATAAAATTATTTAAAAAATTGGTTTTTGTATTTTTAAAACTTACAGGCCTATGTATGTCGGAACAACAAATTTATGAATTTGTTCAACTTTTTTGAGATTTTTTGTGCTTTATGTATGTTTGTATAGTCCCCATATAACTGTACCTCCAGATATTCAATATTTTGAGTATTTGTGTTCACCAAATTTGTTTTATATTTGGTATTTGGAGTTCGTAATGGTACTGGTACAATGAAGACAAGGTAGGCGATAGAAATCACCTGAATACAATCTTTGCTTTTGGTAGTCTTGTAATGTCAAGAAATTTATACAGGTTTTGTATACACATTGTGTACGCATTGTATTCAAATATAAACGAAATATTTTTTCCTTGATTTTCTTTTATAAAAAAATATTGGCAGAAAAGTGTTAAATAAACAAGTAAAACACAGGGCCGAACTTTGAATACCCTCCACCATTTGGAACGATTTTGGACATTTTCAAACAAATAAAATCCGTTAAAAATTCTGTTGAAATTTTAAAAATGCCGAATAGAGCCGTTATATTTGGGTCTATACGAAGACGTGGGCCTGCATAAATCACTTTTGTCATAAGCCAGTACAATATTCAAAAAACGAAACTTCATCCGAAACAAATCCGGTGAATAATGTAGCTAAAATCATCAAAATACCGAATATACGGATTTCCCGTTATATCGGGTCTACACGAAGACGTGGACCTGCATAAACAATTTTCTGTCACTTCACTTCAAATACGAGATTTCAAATAATTTCAGTGGATAATTTTACCTAAAGTGGAGGGTATACGAATACGTGGGCCTGCATACGCAATTTTTTGTCCTAGACTGTAGTACCCATTACGAATTCTAAATACGAAATTTGAAACAACTCCGATGAATAATGTCTCTATAATCGTCAAAAAAATATCGAACATCGGGGGGTACCATTGTATGTTTGCTATACGATATCGTAGATATAGAGAAATCTCTTCCAGGGAGTACAGTGCTTGGAAAGAACTTCTAATATGGATTTTTATTCAATTCCATCGAAAAATGTACGTTAAAATAGCGAATATATGGATGTACCGTAATATGGAGGATATACGATATCGTGGTCCAATATATACTATTCCAGGAAGTAAAGTACTCAGACCGGACTCCTTTTGTGCATTTTCAGACAATGTTATTTATTTATTTATTTTTTTTTTTTTTTTTTTTTGGAAAAATTCGGCTGAGTGAGTTGGGTAGGTTTGGCTGATCAATTAAAAAGGTGTAGCGTATTGTGCGGTCCTGTATCGCACGCCGGGCATGCGTAACGCACATCTTTCGATCGAATTGAGATATAGCCCCCATATAACAGTACATCTCAATATTCGGTATTTTAGTGATTCTAGAGACATTATAGTTGCAATTATCGTGTTCGTAATGGGAACTGCATTCTATAACACAAAATTGCGTATTCAGGTCCACGTTTTCTATAGCCCCCATATAACGATACCTTTCGATATTCGGTATTTTTATGATTTTAGCGTCATAATTTAAGAGAATTGTTTCAAATTTCGTATTTGAAGATCGTAATGGGTGCTGTAACATATGACGAAAAATGGCATTGCATCCCACGTCTTCGTATAGGCCCCATATAACGGGTTTCATTCAAGTAGTATTTTGCGACAGAAAATGTTTAAAAATTTTAAAGTTCCTTCCAAATGGTGGAGGGTCTATTAATATTTTTATACCCTACAACACTATGTGTTGGGGGTATTATAAGTTTGATTGGGCCAGAATTTATGTAACACCTCGAAATATTGGTTTCCCATATAGGAAAATATATATGGATCTTCCTAGCTCGCCGAGCTGAGTCGATCTAGCTATGTATGTCCGTCCTTCCGTCTGTCCATGTTAATTTGTAATCACGCTACAGGTCGCAATTATGGCCCGATCCTTACGAAATTTTGCACGAAGGTGGGGTTAGGGTCAGAATAGAAGCCTATTTCTTTTGGAGATGATCGCCAAATGCTTAGGGGTTGAAATGGACCAAATACTGAAAAAATGTCGGATTTTGCAGTAGCTATATAGGTCGCAATTATAGACCAATCGACGCGGATTTTCGCATGCAGCTAGAGTTTAGGGCGGGGAAGAAGCCTACCAATTTGGGTGGTCATCGGATAATATTTAGCGGGTAAAATAGACCATATCTTTTGTGTTAAAAAAAAATCAAAATTTTTCATTAAACCGCGAATATTTTAAATCCCGGTGAAATCACAAAGCCATGACAAGGTTACTTCTGATCTTTACATTGATGTTAACATCCAACAAAACGGATATATAGCAAAATATGTGCGATATGTATGTTTATCAAAGAAGATATGCTTGAAAAATCTCTTATATGTCGAGAACGGCAGAACTGATTTCGACAGTTCTCATTAATTTAGAATGGCCTCTTGGCAGGAAACATAAAACGTCTAAAAAAATCGCATAAGAATATCTCTCTAGATGAAAATATTGATTTGTTAAAATTTTCTCATGTTTTTTCAATTTTGTCATATTTTTGGCATATTTTCATATTGAATTAAACATTTGGTAATATTTTTACAGCTAACAAAACTAAGTAGTTAGGATAACAGGATATCATATACAGATCCAATTTATGGCCCGATCCATACGAAATTTTGCATGGGGATAAGATGAGGGTCAGAATAGAAGCCTACTCTTTTTGGAGATGATCGCCATATATTTAGGGGGTGAAATGGACCAAAAAGTGCAAAATTGTCGGCAGGTCGTAATTATGGGGGTTATCGGACATTGCAAAAGACAAGCAGTTTTGGATGGCCATCCAAAAATATTCACTGTGTGAATAGTTTGCCAACTTTTATAGACAAAATACGAAAATGTCCATTCCAGTGACTTTTTGGAGAATTCACAAATACAGGAAAGACGCACTTCTGACTATTTCGTAAACGCTGATTTCGTTGAAGAATATTGTCAAATGTCTGTATCTCATATATAGCATTTTCAGATTAAATGAAACCTTTTGCAATTCAAATGAAACTTTTTGCAGCGGGAATGAAACCTTTTGCAGTGGAATTGAAACCTTTTGCAGTGGAAATGAAACCTTTTGCAGTGGAAATGAAACCGTTTGCAGCGGGAATGAAACCTTTTGCAACCGAAATGAAACCTTTTACAACCGAAATGAAACTTTTTGCAAATCAAATGAAACTTTTAGATTTTTAGAAGGAAAAATAACAAAACATTTTTATTTTTAGTACGTTTAAAATTAAATTAACTAATTATAACTAATATATAGTTAAAGAGGAATTTTTATTGATTATTAACATTTATGTTTTTATAAAATTTTTTCTTAAAGCTTGCATAATACACAAGTGTAGATGCAGAAAGATTGAAAAAAGTTTTTCAAGGTATTTTTTTCAAAGGACCCGAATTAGGTATCTTTTTATAATCTCCTCTATGGAAAGGAAGATATATTAAATTTGTCATTCGGTTTGTAACACCTCTAAATATTCGTCGTAGACCCCATAAAGAATATACAATCATGATCATAGTTGATTTAATGATTTCCACTTATCTGTCTTTTGAAATCACGACTGCTCTATCTCCATAATCAATAAAGCTGCGAAGCGGGAATCCTTTATTAGATAAGATTAATAGTATACTATAACTATAAAAAATTGTGGTAAAGCTTAATTTCACATTTCAGTCGTGGCCATACCTACACGCAGAGAAAAAAATATGGTTCAGCCAACAATATTCGAAGAGCAAAATATATATGGTAAATATATGGTTGGATTCTATTATGTAATATTGTCGCTGCAAACATGTTTTTGGTTAGGCTGTGTAAACTGTATACATATAAATGTTTGCCCCAACCAGTTTCATGGTTGTCCCAATCATTTGATTGGTAAGATTTTATAAAACGTTCTTTTAGCCTGAAAATATATATTTTAAAAAGGTACAATATATATGTTTTCTGTAACGATTTACATGTTTGTCCCAATCATTTGATTGGTAAGATTTTATCAAATGTTTTCTTGGCCTGAAAATATATATTTTTAAAAATTTACAATATATATGTTTTCGGCAACCATTTACATGTTTGTCCCCATCATTTGATTGATAAGACTTTACCAAACTTTTTTTTGGCCTGAAAATATATATTTTTAAAAAGTTACAATATATATGTTTTCCCCAACCATTTACTTGTTTGTCCCAATAATTTGATTGGTAAGACTTTATCAAACTTTTTTTTTGGCCTGAAAATATATATTTTTAAAAAGTTACAATATATATGTTTGCCCCAACCATTTACTTGTTTGCCCCAATAATTTGATTGGTAAGATTTTACTAAACTTTTTTTGGCCTGAAAATATATATTTTTAAAAAGTTACAATATATATGTTTGCCCCAACCATTTACTTGTTTGTCCCAATAATTTGATTGGTAAGATTTTACCAAACTTTTTTTGGCCTTAAAATATATATTTTAAAAAGTTACAATATATATGTTTGCCCCAACCATTTCTTATACTCTACCTTTTTAATATTATGTATATTATTAAAAACATCTTGGATAGTGTTCTATAAATCAAATTTTATTTAATTTTACAGGTAATAATATAAATTAACATATTAAATCTAACATATAGTATACAATTATTAATATTACGAAAATGGAATTGCATTTATTTTATATAAAAGCAGTCTTCTTTGGATGTACAAATATATCCCGTATAATTTGATTCTGAATATAATACATTGACAGAAAGAAAAACATTTTCATATTCTACTCCAAAAGCATGGTAGTGCGAATCAAATCCATGTGTTAAAAGTCTTTGAACGCACAGGAAAAACTATCGTCGAAACAACAAATATGAATAATGAGTCCAAATAATGGAATGTTATCATCATATTCTCCAATTTGAATAACCATTCCAGGTTTAAAATAAATTTCATTGTATTGAAGATTGGATAAGACACGCAATGGTACTGTAGACAAAATATTATATTTTCGGAAAGTATCGCTGGTCATTTCCACAGAATGACCTAATTCTATTTTAGCATCTAAAATATCTGAATAGTTAATTAAAAAGTCAAATAATTTAACTTCATATTTTGTGTATATAGTTTTCAGGAGATTAATTTTATTATTAGAGCTGTTACATATTTTTTTTAATTCCTTATGAAGAGATTCAAATCTCATTGAAGAAATATGTTTCAAAGGTCCAATTTGTTTCATAATATTTGCATAGTGTAACAAGTTATGAAATTTTGGTTGCAATGTTGATTTTGTAAGTTGCATGTACAAATCGTTGTGTTCGCACACTAGCTGTTGAAAATGTTCAGGAACACCAGTTTGAAATGAATCTGATTCACATGCTATAAAAACTATTTTTTTTAATAACAAAAATAGCGACCATTCTTGACAATCAGGCACTAAATCTCCTATAATTAAATTTAGGCACCTTACGAAAACTAATGTTTCAGAAGAAGATAATTTCAATTTAATTTTTTTCTGGAAATCTTGACTCAGTATAGGTGGCTTGCTCCTGCTATTGATTGGACCATAATTGAAAGTTAGCAATCTATAATTTAGTTGGTCTAAACTAAAGAATTCGTAATCCTTTATGAAACGAGTCAATATAAAAATTAAAACGTAATGACATACTCCTTCTAATAAATCATGCATAACGTCGACACTATAATTCCTTATTACATGAAATTGTTTTAAATTATTCCAAATAGAATTTTCTTTTATACCGGTGGTCTTAAAATCATTAAGACCTACATCAGAACTATAATTATGAGGATTTCGTAACATTTCACTATTTTCAGAAACTGCCACTTTGTTAACTTCTCGATGCTGTTTACAAAAACGACAGTAAAAATTGCTGGAAAATGTTTCAGAAAAGCCAAGAATTGTATTGAGTCCAAGGTTGTCTCCCAAAATTAGAGAAGAAATTAATTTAATTTTTTATAAGATTTCCTTCAAATGAGATTTCTTCATGAATATCTATTCCAATTTCTTGCAAACTATTAAGTTCATTTATAAATGCCTCAAATACGCGTTTGTTACCGATTTTTTTTCTATCTTCAGAAAATAATAGCATTCCTACAAACATATGAGACAATTTTGACTGAAGATATTCGGGAATACAAGGAATTTTAATGTAAACCCCACCAAGTTTTTGAAAGCCAGCGTGAGAACCTAATGCGTTATCTGGCTCAAATTCATCGAAATATACGAAAAGGGGTAAAAACAATGTATCTGACTTGTCATTACAATTTAGTTTCTCACGCCAAAGCTTACTTTGAACAAAATTATATATAACATTCGGATCACGTAGTTTTAAACAACTTATGTAAGATACAACTTCAGTCAAAAATTTAGTTTTATTAAAAAGTATAAAGAAAAAAGACTGCAATGATAATATTGCGATGGAGTAGTCAATATTTTTTAAAGTAATTTGTCTTCCTGTAGTTAAAACCTCTTGAGGCTCACGATGTAGCAAAAGGTATTTGGCTTCAACAAAGTAGCCTGTTTTCTTAAATTCGTTCAGTAATTTATATTCTGATTTAATAATACAACTATTAATAATATCTTCAAGAAACGCTATTATTTCAGGTTCCACTACATTATCTACTAATTTATTTCTTAGAATTTTCAGGTACTTTAAGAAACCATTTGCAACATTTCTTATAATTTCTAAACACTTATTTCGAGGAATACTTTCATTACAATAAGCTTTCACAATTTGTTTCAATAGATCAGTTTTCATATTTGTAACTAATTCTATCTGAGATCGCGAACTATTATCGTCAATATTTGTATCTAAGGGGAAAATTCTTCCTAAAGGTTCACTATTTATGTTTGAGTATTCTGATGAACTATCCAAAGAGTTATTAAAGACATTTTTAGGAAAATGTCTTTGCAAATGAAACTTATATGAATCAAACCGATCGTATCTGCGATTGCAATTAGGAAAACAACAAGATATTGACGTTATATGTTTATGATGCCTTCTCATATGTCGGATTAATTCATTAATTGAAATAAATAAATGAGATGAACAAAAACATTTAATATAATCCATTTGTAGATATAAATTTATATATAAAAGTCTTATATAATGAAATAATAATAAAATAATTAATTTTTTTGGACGAACATAAAATAATTCTCTTCGAAACTAAAAAAAACAAATCTATTCCAGATTTTCCATACGAAGTTCATTGATTAAGGTACTTACAGCAGGTATTGTCGTATCCCATGGAGTGTTAATTTCATAAATAATATATTGTATAAATGTCCATACGTGTAGGCATGCACTTGGGTATTTAATATTCATACTCATAAAAGAGTAAAAGCAGGCTTCAACAGCTTTTAAAGGATTTTCAAATTTCAAACGATTTCCACATATATCCACGTATGCAATGGAAATTGGTTTTGTCGTATCGCCAACAAAATAAATTTTGGGTTGAGTATCCTTTTTTAGTCGTTTTATTCGGTTTCTTGTTTCGTCATCTGCCACTTGAATATTCTGTTAGGATGATACATTTTTTTATTAATATATGAGGTATTGTGGAATAAAAGTATATATATGAACCGACCTTGCAGTAATAAATGAATGATTCCAGCGATTCTAACTTGCTGTTCTTCCTGTAGTGTGGTAGAATAAATGGAATAATCATCAACGAAAGAGCAATTTTGCAATCTATTGTAAAAAAAATGTGGATGATTATGTATAGCATATTCTTATATTCATACATACCTTCGTCCTCAGTTCTGTCGATATTCGCTAAAATTTGTAAAACGCTATTCTCTTTTGATTGTTCGGCTTTCAATATTAGTTTTCCATAGAATTGTTTCCATTGGTAAATGCTTTTGGAATTTGGGTACAGTATTTTGAAATCGATTTGAAGCTAGGCGAGAAGTATATGAACAATATTAATCGAAATTTACATAATATTAATAATTCAAAGACTTACCAATTCATGAAAGTTCTCATTAAGATGAATGTTGTATTTTTGTATATAGTCAATAGTACTTAACTCGTTGTTTTGTAATTCGTTTTGTCGATAGGAATGAGATTTAATCCAAAGTTCTCTTGTTTTGTTCCAATCTACATTCGTTGTTTCAAGAATTTTCAATTCATCTGCTGATATGCCAGTTTCGTGATCTTCCGACAATTGCGTATGATTTGCTAAAAGAACGTATTGTTTTTCAAAACATATAAATATTCTTATATTTAAGCATACTCACATTTCTTTTTCACGTTTTCACGTATATTTATCAGTCCTGCTGCACTTAATTGTGTTCTCTTATTATTGTATGCGTCAAACAATTTACCATTTGCCAAATGACCTTTTGTAAAGGGTACGTAATAAGTTTCTCTAACTTCCGATGGAAATACTTCTATTATTGATCGGGAAAGTTGTAACAAATCATCTTTATATAAACTGCAAATTGAAAAAGAATCTCTGAATATAAACAAATTGTTAAGTGTTTAGGATTTACATACCGTCTATTCACATTTTGGCTCAGGATATTTGACACTATACTCTTTGCTATAATTGTTCTATCCTTATTTTGCAGACTATTACATTGCAATAATTGCTTAATTTCAGGATATTCTTTTATTTCCTTCGGGAATAAAAAGGGGTTAATAATGACTGAAAAGATTTTAAATTAAGAAACATTTTTACATACCTCCGTTGATGGAACAGAAGGATAAGCATTTTTGTCAATAAAAATATTCCCCTGGCTTTGGTTAAAAATATCATCGGTTATACATGTTAAAGTTCTAATAACCTGAGGCTGTGTACTTCCAAATATTATATTTTGTGAACTGGAAGCCTGTGATTCCAATTCATCATTCGAGTCTGAGGTGGAATAAGAAGAATTATCATCTACAACGAAAATTAGTTTAGAAATTACACATTATATTTACATACATATACAGTGGTGGTCACCTAATTAGAACATGAACTGTGGTGAACATTTTTTGAAGTATTTTTTAAAAATAATATAATTCTGAACACTTAGATATACTGCACTTAAGAGGTTTAGTGTGAAAATAGAAAATTATTTTATGCAATTTTTAATAAATAAAAATTTTTATAAAATAACGTGGAAATATTTACTTTACTGCTTTTTTTGAAAATAGTTTACAGATGAAAAAAAAATTAGTATATCTAAGAGCTCAGAATTATTTTTTTTTTTTAAACACTTCAAAAAATGCTTACCACAGTTCATGTTCTAATTACGTGACCACAACTTTAAATATATTTAATTTGTGGATACTCACTTATTAAATTTACGTCCAATATAAAATCCGTTGACGATAGATACTGTTCCACCAAATCGGTGAATATGTTTGGTTTTATTAAAAATTTCTTGTTAAAAATTTGAACAAAAACTAGCGAGAGGCAGTGAATGCAGAAGCTAATGCAAATGCTCCGAAATATAACGGGATCACAACACTCAACACAAAATATTGTAAACTTTAACAATACATATTTTCAATCCAAAACAAGATATTGTAATTTTTTAAAATACATATTTTAAAATTGGACAATATATATTCTTAGTTTGAAAATATATATTGTTAAATTTGAAAATATGTATTGTTAAGTTTGAAAATATGTATTGTTAAATTTGAAAATATGTATTGTTAAAATTGAAAATATATATTGTTAAAATTGAAAATATGTATTTTCGAACTAAACAAATATATATTAAAAAGTGCACATGTTTTGAATTTTCTGAAAACACGTGTTTTATACATTTTCAATGTTGTACTTTTCCTTGAAGCTAATTGTACTTCAGTGACTTAGTTACATATATGTACTTTTAATTATTTTTTGCCATTAAATAGAACTTTTACTTTTCTTTTTCAGAAAAAGTCACATTCAAAATAGTTGTAAGCGAACGCGAAATAAACTCACTTTATTTTTATTGTATTTATAGATAGCATGTGTCATTATTTTATGACTCTTTAATATTTATTGTATTAAGTAAAACTTTTAAATGTTCACTTTTATATCACTCTTAAATTTACGCACGTAGTACTTCTTCGAACTCTCCAATCAAACTAACATGTTTTGACACGCTCAGCTCTCAAGCGCATACAATTTACAATATTATTTTAAAATTCTACAAAATGTATTGTAAATTTATTAGCAACATGATTGTGAAGACCATTGGTATTGTAAATTATTTTTATCATATTACAAAAATTCGATTTAAATTTTGGAAATTATGGTTGCAGGGAACATAGTATTTTCAAATATGCAATTCACATGTTTGCTACAAACATATAAAAGTTGTGGCAACAATAGTTATGGTTTCTGCAACCATAGTGAAAAATATTTTTTCTCTGCGTGTATAAAGGGCAAAATTTGTTTAAATTTCTCTTTTTAGCGATAAGCATTTGGAATTAAATAATATGGAAGCATTTTATATCAAATCAATAAAGAACCATTTGTTATTACAATAATTGAAAATTTAAGAAATAATATAAATAAATGTAGATATTTATAATCAATAAAAAATCCTATTTGTCAATATATTAGTTATATTATTATTAATTATTAATTGATTTCATTTAAAAACTACTAAAAATAAAAATATTTTGTTATTTTTCCTTCTATAAATTTAAAAGTTTCATTTGATTTGCAAAAAGTTTCATTTCGGTTGCAAATGGTTTCATTTCGGTTGCAAAAGGTTTCATTTCCGCTGCAAACGGTTTCATTTCCACTGCAAAAGGTTTCATTTCCACTGCAAAAGGTTTCAATTCCACTGCAAAAGGTTTCATTTCCGCAGCAAAAAGTTTCATTTGAATTGCAAAAGGTTTCATTTAATCTGAAAATGCTATAGATGCGTTTCAGTCAAAAACCAATAATAAATGTTAATCTTTTGCCACTTCTGAGAGATTATAGGTCTTTGGGAAATATTGGTTCCAGATCTAGGAAGACCATTTAAGTGCAACATCTACCAATAAATTGGAAATGAGCAAATTAGTTTAAGTTGCTATTATTCGAAAATTAGAGAACGAAACCTGATGGTTTCCTTTTATTATTTGTCACAATATCTTGTGGAATTCTTTCGAGTATCTCGCCTATATAAACTGTATCGTTTATTATAGTGTTGTAGGGTATTCAACGGTCGGCCCCGCTCGACTGTAGCCTTTGCTTACTTGTTTTATCAGTGTTTAATTTATTATTTTCTCCTTGATATGGCCTTTTTATCGTTGTGCAAAAATGTGTGGGTGTTTCTGTTGTTTTAAAATGTAGTATGGATTTTACATCGATAGCTTGCCAGCCCTAATCTAAGCGTTAGTTGAACTGAATCAGGACCCAAGCATTAAAATTGATTTAGAAAATAAAATTGTAACCCAGTGTCGTATATACACTCTTATGTAGACTTATGTTATAAAAATAGCTGATTTGCATTTTTTAATTACTTCACATTTTTTTTTTCCTGATTTGATAATTGATAATTCAATAAATGATTGAATATATTGCAATCAATGGGACAGCTCTAATAGTCTTAATGTGTGATTGCAATTAGTTGATAGTTCTACCTCATAGAGGTAGAGAACATTGCAAATCTATTAAATATTTATTTTACATTCAAAATCCACAAAGTGATGGATCTCCTCCGGAAACTATGTTTTATTTGCCTGTTTTGTGCTGATTTCGCCACTGTGATCAATGGCGGCTATACACATTATCGTCTGCCTACGGCCATAAAACCGAAACATTATGATCTTAAAATCATAACACACTTGGAAAGTCCTGAAAATGCCACATTCAATGGAGAAGTGTCCATAGAGCTCGATATACTGGAAGATACTAAGAATATTACCCTACATGCCAAAAATTTAACCATCAATGAAACTCAAATCGATTTGAAACGACTGGATGGAGATTTTCATTGGTGCCTAGAAGGTATTGAAATAGTATCGGAACACGATTACTACATTATATTATTGTGTGAAGCGTTGCTGGGTGGAGGCAAATATGAATTGCATTTAAATTTTGGTAGTACTCTTAATGAAAACATCCAGGGCTATTTTGTCACAACCTACGAAGATGAGAGTACAAATGAAACAAAGTGGATGGCAGCAACTGATTTCCAGCCGACATATGCTCGTATGGCATTTCCCTGCTGGGATGAACCGAATTATAAGGCGACATTTACAATATGGTTAGGTCACAGTAAATCCCTTAATGCCTTGAGTAATATGCCTTTAGACCAAGAAACTCCTTTAGAGGGTTTGGACAACTATGTTTGGAGCAAATTTCAAGAGTCTGTAGTTATGTCCACATATCTGGTAGCATTTAGTATTAATGAGTTTGTTTCTCTGAAGTCCGGAGACAATGCCAGTGAGACAGAATTTCGTATATGGTGCCGAAAAGACAAATCTGCAAGCTGTGAGTATGCTGCTGAAGTGAGTCCAAAAATTCTAAAATACTTAGAAGAAAAATTAAAATTGCCAAATCCTTTGAAAATAATAGATCAGATAGCTGTTCCAAATTACCCCAGTGAGGGTATGGAGAATTGGGGCCTTGTAGTGTACTCGGAAAGCTACGTTTACATCGACTCCGAAAGTATTGAAAAACAGTTCCTTAGGGAGTATTTAGTTAACTTAATTGCTCACGAATTGGTTCACCAATGGTTTGGAAATATTGTTACCATGAAATGGTGGACAGATACTTGGCTCAACGAAGGATTTGCAAAATATTTTGGCTTCTTGGCTGCAAAAGATTTTCTGGCCGACCAAAACACCGACTATAATTTATTTTTACATTATTTGGAAATTGTTCATTTTGATTCCAAGTTACAGACGCACCCTGTATCTCTATTGGTTACAAATGCCACAGAATTAGAACAAAGTTTCGATGCTGTGAGCTATATTAAAGGCTGGTTGATATTGAGAATGGTTCATATTGTCTTGGGTCATGAGGCATTCTTTCAGGCACTTCAAGCATATTTAGAGAAGTACCAGTATCGAAATGTCGAACAAAGTGATCTGTTTAAGGAGTTTAGTAAAAAATCACGAGATATAGGCCCAAACATGGAAACTATTTTATATTCATGGACCCTACAACCAGGATATCCACTTGTAAAGATTTGGCGTAATTACGAAGACGGTTCTGTCGACATTTCCCAGCAAAGATTCCTCACAGAACCCAGGCAGAATTCTGAAGATGCTGATAAATGCTGGTGGATACCATTAAGCTATACGTCGTCATCGGAATCCGATTTTGCAAATAATACTATAAAATCCTGGCTTGAATGTGATGAACGAACGAAGAATAAACCCCTTCGACTGTATAATGTGGCAGAATCAAATGATTGGATCATATTTAACATTCAATTATCAGGTTTCTATAGAGTCATGTATGACCCGAAAAACTGGCAACTTATTACCAACACCCTTCTCAGTGATCAATATACAAAAATTCACGTTTTCAATCGAGCCCAATTAGTTGGCGATGCCATAGCATTAGCCTGCAATGGTCATCAGGAGTATGACATAGCATTTGGTATTTTAGAATATTTAAGCCATGAATACGAATATCCACCGTGGAAATCAGCATGGGATGAACTGGAGAAAGGCTCTTGCGAATCCATATTAAAAACAATACCGAAATATAGAATTTATTACAACGCCTTTATGCGTAACATCCTGAAGCCAGTTTTTAATCACGTCAGCCACTCTAATACAACTGACGAGGGCCATGAAAGAACGTTGCTTAGAGTTCTTATATCAAATTGGGCTGTAAATGTTGATCTTGAAAAGAAATCGCAAAAAGATATCGAATCATTCCAAAAATGGAAATCTCTCCCAGATCCTGATATTGTTAACCCAATTCAAGTTTATTCTAGAAAACGCATTTACTGCCAGGCATTAAAGTTTGGCAACGCAAGCGAATGGAATTTTCTTTGGCAACGACTCCAATACAACTCCGGCAATAGCGGCGAAAGAAAAACCATACTTCAATCATTAAATTGCACAAGCAATGAAAATCTGTTAAAAAGCTATTTACACGTAATCTTCAGTAATGAATGTGCCTTGGAAAACGATGAAAAGCAGTATGCATTTATTACAATCATAAACAACGAATCTGGGCTCAGATTAGCCAGGGAATTTTGCATGAAACATATCGAGGAGTTACACACAAAAACGGATGTCAACTTCTTATTCGACCAAATGGCCAGCAAAATCAACACCATGGAGGACTTGAACACACACATACAATTTATTCAAAACCATCGTAAATATTTTGAAAATGCCGATGACAAAATTAATATGATTCGTGAAAATAATCTATCAAAAATTCAATGGATTGAGGACAACTTGGATAAAATCATATCGTATTTGGATAAACGTCTCTCCCGAATGGGTGTAGAAATTGCTAATGAAGTTAATTGAAAATTTTGTTTAAAATATCGTTTAATAAAGGACACATTTACTTCATGAAATAGCTTGTTATACCCTACAACACTATGTGTTGGGGGTATTATAAGTTTGATTGGGCCAAAAATTATGTAACACCACGAAATATTGATTTCCCGCATAGGAAAGTATATATGGATCTTCCTAGCTCGCCGAGCTGAGTCGATCTAGCTATGTATGTCCGTCCGTCCGTCTGTCCGTCTGTCCATGTTAATTTGTAATCAGGCTACAGGTCGCAATTATGGCCCGATCCTTACGAAATTTTGCACGAAGGTGGGGTTAGGGTCAGAATAGAAGCCTATTTCTTTTGGAGATGATCGCCAAATGTTTAGGGGTTGAAATGGACCAAATACTGAAAAAATGTCGGATTTTGCAGTAGCTATATAGGTCGCAATTATAGACCAATCGACGCGGATTTTCGCATGCAGCTAGAGTTTAGGGCGGGGAAGAAGCCTACCAATTTGGGTGGTCATCGGATAATATTTAGCGGGTAAAATAGACCATATCTTTTTTGTTGAAAAAATTCAAAATTTTTCATTAAACCGCGAATATTTTAAATCCCGGCGAAATCACAAAGCCATGACAAGGTTACTTCTGATCTTTATATTGATGTTAACATCCAACAAATCGGATATATAGCAAAATATGTGCGATATATATGTCTATCAAAGAAGATATGCTTGAAAGATCTCTTATATGTCGAGAACGGCTGAACTGATTTCAACAGTTCTCATTAATTCAGAATGGCCTCTTGGCAGGAAAGAAAAAACGTCTAAAAAAATCGCATAAAAATATCTCTCTTAAGATGAAAATATTGATTTTGTAACATTTTCTCATATTTTTTCAATTTTGTCATATTTTTGGCATATTTTCATTTTGAATTAAACATTTGGTAATATTTCTACAGCTAACAAAACTAAGTAGTTAGGATATCAGGATGTCATATACAGATCGCATTTATGGCCCGATCCTTACGAAATTTTGCATGGGGATAAGATGAGTGTCAGAATAGAAGCCTACTCTTTTTTGGAGATGATCGCCGTGTATTTAGGGGTTGAAATGGACCAAAAAGAGCAAAATTGTCAGCAGGTCGTAATTATCGCCCGATCCTCACGCAAATTTGAATGAGGTTACCGGACATTGCAAAAGCCAAGCAGTTTTGGATGGCCATCCAAAAATATTCACTGTGTGAATAGTTTGCCAACTTTTGTAGACAAAATACGAAAATGTCCATTCCAGTGACTTTTTGGAGAATTCACAAATACAGGAAAGACGCACTTCTGACTATTTCGTTAACGCTGATTTCGTTGAAGAATATGGTCAAATGTCTGTATCTCATATAGATGCGTTTCAGTCAAAAACCTATAATAAATGTTAATCTTTTGCCACTTCTGAGAGATTATAAGTCTTTGGGAAATATTGCTTCCAGATCTAGGAAGACCCATGGTACAATGAAGAGAAGGTAGGTCAACTTTGAAAAAATTGCAAGTAGAGAGGTCTACCTGTTTGGCTTGTAATGTCAGAATTAGTATCAAAACAATAAAAAATCAAATAACTTGTTGCATTTATTTTGAATAAATAATTGAAAACAGCGAAAACTGAATGAATGGTTAAAATTTCTTTTCAATATCATGTTCTATATATATCTTATGGTTTATTTCGCGACAAAAACTGTAGACTTTGTCGATGCATTCGTTGCAATAAGCATTTTAAAAACACCCGAATTTGAATATTTTCTGAACAATTTTTTATTATTGAGAAGAAGACACACACATAAGCAAATGAAGTTGACATATTAAGCCAGAAAAATGAAAAAATTTAAATCATATGGTAGTTCTGCCCTACCTTGAATTCATTGTACCATGGGAAGACCATTTAAGTGCAACATCTACCAATAAATTAGAAATGAGCAAATTAGTTTAGGTTGCTATTATTCGAAAATTAGAGAACGAAACCTGATGGTTTTCTTTTATTATTTGTCACAATATCTTGTGGAATTCTTTCGAGTATCTTGCCTATATAAACTGTATCGTTTATTATAGTGTTGTAGGGTATTCAACGGTCGGCCCCGCTCGACTGTAGCCTTTGCTTACTTGTTTTTAAGATATTTTTACTTGCATGGATATTGGAATTTTTATACCCTCCACCATACTATGGAACTCCTCCTCGAAATACTCATGTCAGACACAACAAAGTATATATATTCTTGATCAGCGTAAAATTCTAAGACGATTTAGCCATGCCCGTCTGTCTGTTGTAATCACGCTATCTTTCGAACAAATTGAGATAGAAGGCTAAAATTTTGCACACATGCATATTTTGCCAGTAGGCAGGTTAAGTTCGTAAATGAACCATGTAGGTTCACGTCTTCATATAGCCCCCCTATAACGGTACCTCCCGATATTCGGTATTTTGATGATTTTAGCGACATTATTCACCGGAATTGTTTCAAATTTGGCATTTGAAGTTCGTAATGGATACTACAGCCTGAGCCAGAAAATAATCTGTGTAGGTCCACGTCTTCGTATAGCCCCCATATACCGTACCCCCCGATATTCGGTATTTTGATGATTTTAGCGACATTATTTACCAGGATTGTTTCAAATTTCGCATATGAAGTTTGTAATGGATACTTCAGCCCATGCCAGAAAATTGTCTGTGCAGGTCCACGTCTTCGTATAGCCCCCATATACCGTACCCCCCGATATTCGGAGTTTTGATAATTTTAGCTACATTATAAACAGATTTTTCTTCAAGTTTCGCATTAAAATATTGTAATAACTTATGACAAAAGTTGCCTATGCAGTTCCACGTCGTCGTATAGGCATTCGGTATTTTAAAGATTTTAACAGAATTTTTAACGTATTTTATTTTTTTTTTTTTTTTTTTTTTTTTTTTTTTTTTGGAAATTGTCAAATTTGTACCAAATGGTGGAGGGTATTAAAAGTTCGGCCCGGCCGAAGTTACAGCTTTTTTACTTGTTAGATATTAAAATTTCTAACAGTTTATTTACTTGGACCTACTTAAATTGCATTAATTAGTTCAAATTTACATGAAGGTCTCGTATATTTTCAAATAGAAAAGATTACGGCACATTCGACTGAATTCAGATAAAAACAAGTTCATGGAATTTTGGGAAAATAGGTTCATATATATGACAGCTATGATGTCAGATATATTGTAATAATATTTCCTTTTATATTTTATTTATTCATTTTTTTGTGACTGCAAAGTGGTGTATAAAAACAGGTCCTTTTTCGTGTCATACAAAATTAAGTGATCAGAAGGGTAAGTCGCAAAGAAGAAACAACAACGGAGAATATGGAGAGCGGGCTACAGTATCGGCGAAAGATCGGAAATGAAAATAATGATCGCTGCGCCTACAGCGTTCAAGGGTGTTACGACAAAGTTGGCGTATTGGAGCGAGATTTAGGCAACATTTCAATGGTCCAATATCTTAAACTGTGTTTGTTCGGTTTGCAATCATAAAATCTCACAGAAAATTATTTTCAATTTTGCGATAAGTTTGCGCAGGCACTTCACACTCCTCTTATGATTTCAAATCTTCAAGCGACTGCATCACATATGGAGGGCTCACTGCTATACCGAACCAAGTCATGAAAAATAAAAAATGCCGAAACTAGTGCCAATGTCCCCGCATATGGCAACTCTGTTTACTCTGTAAAGCACAATGTCAAAAAGTGTTTCGTTCCAAAGATAACGTTAAAAAACCTAAGTCCACGACTGTCATTTTCGTTTTTATTCAAAGCAAAAATGAACCAAGTCAGTGTGTTTCACTTTGAATCAGCGTATATATAGATATCAGCACTGATTCAAGGTCGATTTAGTGATGTCCATCCGTCTGTCTGTCCACCTGTGGAAATCACTCTAGCTTCCGAGGCGTTTGTAGTAGGTTGATAAAATTTACTCAGATGTGTGTTTGGTCTACAGGGCTTTTGGTATTGGAAATGGTCGGTATTTTGATGACTTTAATGACATTATTCACCAATTTTTTTCATATTTCGTATTCGGTATTATGATGTTTTTGCGATATTATTTACCGGATTTTTTCAAGTTTCCTATTTGAATATTGTAATGGACTATGACAAAACTTGGCTGTGCAGGTCCACATTTTCGTATATACCCCCATATTACGATAACTCTCTATATTCGGTATTTTTATGATTTTTAAAAGTATTTTTTTATATCCAAATCCTTTCCAAATGGTAGAGGGTATTCAAAGCTCGGCCCGACCGAACTTACTGCTTTTTTATTTGATATACTTTACCTAATACACATTAAATATTAGTATGGGCACAATTACAAGAAAATTGTACATTATTCCATATTCATCTCATGTTTCTGGTTGAGAGAAATATTTAGATATAGCAAGTTGTAAAGAATCATCGACTTGTTTCGCAAGTTATGACAGATAAAGGCATTGAAAATTGTGACCCCTTGTGGGTGATGTACCGGAAGGGGTTCGCAGATATATTCCATCTTCACAACAAATATTGTGTTAGCGAAAATGTTTGTATGTGTGAAATCTAAAGGGAGTTGGATGATTATTTCGTTTTCTTTCAGTTTTGTTTTTCAAAATCTTAAACCCTGTGTGGGAAGGTACTAGAAGAAATGGTCCGATCTCTACCATCTTTATAACAGATCTTGTGTTGAAGGAAATTTTGAAATGTACCCAATCTGAATGAAATCGAATAATATCGCGTCTTATGAGCTTCATGGATATTCAAAATGTTGACCCTTTGAGGGGATGATACCAGAGGTAGTGGAGCGATATATTCCATATTCACAGCAGAGCGTGGGTTAATAAAAATATTCTGATCTGTGTAATTTGAACACAATCGGAAAATTTCATCACATTTTATAGAAGTTATAATTATTCAAAATTTTTACCCTTTGTGGGGGAGGTACTTGTTGGAATGGACCACTGGAGCACTGACCGAATAAGGATACCTTTCGAGTATGTAATGAACTTAACATGAAAACAAAATTCGATGAAGACGAAAAT